CAGTGTACAGAAGGACATACCCCATCACCTTAGTATGCCATATCGTAGGTAGAATTAAAGCTGCCACAAAGATGCTCACATCCTATTCACTGGAAATTGTGAGTATGACCATCATGGGCAGATGCTTTGTATCTGTTGTTAACTTGGATTATATTAAGGGGAGTATTGTTCCGTATTACCAATCAAGTACTTAATGTAGTGACAAGAATATTCACATTATAAAAAGAGGCAGGAACGACAGAAGAATGATGCTACAATGACAGGAAAAGGAAAGAATATGGACAGTAGAGGGAGTAGAAAGAGGAAATGACTTCCCCCTGGAGCCTTCAAAGGAAACCCATCTGCTGACATGGTTTTAGGCTCTTTATGCTTGTTTCAGTCAATTTCTCCCCAGAACTGAAACAGAATAACGTTGGAATTTTTAAAAACCTTAAATGTGTGGTTAAGTTTTTGCAATGCTAATAAAAAAAAGTCCCTTATATTCCCTGTCTTAGTTACTTTTCTATTGCTGGGAAATACACCATAATCAAGGCAACTTATAAAAGAAAGCATTTAATTGGGGGCTTGCTTACAGTTTCAGAGGGTGAGTCTGTGACCATCACAGATGGGAGCATGGCAACAGGTAGGTTGCTATGGTACTAGAGCAGTAGCTGAGAGCTCACATCTTGAGAAACAACCAGAGGCAGAGAAAGACACACTGGGAACAGAGTGGGTTTTTGAAACTCCAAAGCCCATCTCTCATGACACACCCCTTCCAACAAGGCCACACCTCCCAGTCCTTTCCAAACAGTTCCACCAACTAGGAACCAAGCATTCAAACACAGGAGCCATGAAGGCCATTCTCATTCAAAGCATCATATCCTTGAGTCTAAAGATTTTCCTTTATTATTATTTTTTTTAGTAGTGTGACTCTAATTTCTGGGTTCCTTAAGTCTTACTGACTGTGTATTCATATAGAACATGGTAAAATGGGGAGCCTGTAGAATTTGTTATAGGAAAGCTATGATTCAGTTAAATTAAAAAAAAGGCTTTGTATGGTTGGCCAGGGAGTTTAAGTTGTTAGGCTTTTGTGTTTTGTTTGTTTGCTTGCTTAGCTATACCAAGTGGATTCCAGGAGTGGAATCCATTAAACCAAGGACTGACCAACTTTTATCTAAAAGGCTACATGCTAAGGATTTCTGGTTTGTGAGACAACAGGTAAAATCAAGACTGTTGGATAAGTAGTTATATAACAGAAGAAATATTCTTATATGTGCTTTATTATGAGATTAAAAACTAGTAATTGAGTATATTTTTATAGAACAGGCCTACTAGAATTTCCTTATTTTTCCAGTTGGAGTGGGTAATAGAATTTCATGTTAGCACCCTCGAAATGAATTGCAGACATTTGCTGCGCTAAGTGTTTCCTGACTTGTGTTTATAAACCTGGCTAAACTGGCTTTAGCGTTCTGTGGTTTCATCCTTACCCTGTAGTGTCGTTTCATCCATACTGTCTCCATTTGTGTGGATCTCTGTGTTCAGGTTTTTAATTTATTCTTGGTAGTTATCATTAAATTACTTCTGATCTAGGTTTTTCTTTCTTTATTTATTTGGTGGGTTCTTTTTCTTTTCCTTCTCTCTCTCTCTCCCTCCCTCTCTCTCTTTTTTGAGATAGGTAGGCTCTTTTTACATAGCCCTGGCTTTCCTGAAACTCATCATGTAGATCAGGCTGCCCTTGAACTTATAGAGATCTGACTGCTCTGTTTCCCCAGTACTGAGATTAAAGGTGTGTGCCACCATGCCTGGTCTTATTTAGGTTTTAAATAACAGGTTAACATACTTTAAATGCCATTTTCTTTTAATTATTTTTTTCTTGAATGCTTTGTTAAAACTGTAGTATAAAGTGAGGCCTATTTTCATTATTTCTGCTATGGGAAGATGTAGTAAGACTAGGCTTTAAATGCACATTCATTTTAATTCAGATAAGTAATTCATAATGCTTTTCTCAAGAAAATATAGATATACACATATGCAAATTTATAGATGCCATTAAGATGTATACTTTTTAAATAATTCATCATCAGTGTTTAAAGGACATTTTAAATAAATTTACTGAATTATTTGAATTCTGCACTCCACAGTTTTGTAATATGTCTTCTACAAATGTTTAATTCTACTGTTATAACCCCCCCCAAGAATATTGTGTATGATCAAAGTGCAATCTTAAAATGATTTTTGAATCATTTAAACTCCCATTTATACCTGGTTAGTTGGTAGGAATATCACTATGAAATACACAGGAGGAATATCACTATGAGACACAAAGGGAATAACAAGCACCTCTTTTAAGAGTCAATCTGCCTGAGAATGTTTTCGGAAGCTGCAAGCAAAAATGGCTTAAAAATTAGCTCTACTGTGGACTCAGCAGGTTGTATGTACGTGTTCATGTGTATAGATACATGTGTATGTGTAAATAATTAAAGTAGAGGACATCAGTTTGAAAGATAATAATAGTAGAGGGGAACAGACTCAGGTGGGGTTGGTGGGGCCATAGGAGGTTGGAAAGGATGCAAATACAGTACTCATGCACGGAATTCTCAAAAAGTTTAAATTTAAGTCAAAAGAACATTAGAAGTTTTAGAGATACAATACACAATGATGTTTTCTTGGGGCTACGAAAAAGGGAAAATGAGGAGTCCAGCCTTTTTGGCGGCATACCTCTGTAATCGTAGGTTGGGAAAGGAAGATAATAATAATTTTAAAACTCCAGATTCATTATCTCACAGAAAAGTAATTTGGATACAAGACATTCCAGATTTATAAAATCTGTGTCATAACTTTGTCTCCTGCATCCACTCCCTTCCCATCTCCCATCTCTATCAGTCTTTGTACTCTGCCATTGACCTCAAGCCTCAGCCTGTGACTAGAGAGGAACTGTCATACTTACTAGGTGTCACTATTTCATGTGAACCATAACGTGTTTTTAAACTCTACTTAATTTTTGCTTTTTTATATAATTGGAGAGAAAACCTTCTTGTAAGTTTCTTAGAGATAAAAAAAATCAAGCATCCATGCATTAGTGGTTTGACTTTGACGTAGCTTGACTATCCAACAGATCTACATGAGCACATTTGATTTGTTTTTTTTTTTTTTCATATTCTCATGGGTTTATATAAGGCAGCCATCATGTACCCCAGGTGGCTGATGCAGAAGAGGAACAGGAAAGAACCACAAAGAGGAGCAGGAAGCTAAGGCAACAGAAAAGAACTGAACTACCTTGGGCAACATTTTCTCTGTCCTAGTCTTCCAACTACACTCTAAGCCGAAAACATTCCTTACATTTTAATTTACTAAAATTTAGATTGGCTATTGTCCAATAAAGCACTTTAGTTACTCTAGTCCTGAGGAAAAGTAAGAATTAATTCCTAATAAACTTTGTCTAAAGAGTCTCTCCTTCCATTTTGAAAATATGCTAAATGCAGCTATATTTTAATTTAACTTGTAAAATTGGCTTTCTCATTAGTTTTAACTCATATTTATTTTTTACATATCATCCACCACAGTTGTCTTCTATCTGGGTTTTGGGGTCTTTCATATCATTACCATAATTAATCCTTATGCAATATTATTATTGTTGTGTTTCTTTTGTTCCCATGTGATGAATCCTAACTCTAGTTCCTCTTCCAGTGTCTCTCTCTCAGGAAATAGAACTCAAATATAACAGCATATATCAGAAGTTCAAGTCTTTTTCAGATTTCTTCATGAAGTCTGTACACTAGCTCTCCATTCCTTTGTGGTGATGACTTGATCTCCTGTGTGTCTCTTGATTTTGTTCATTTGTACTGCTCCTATAATGCACAATACAAATATCCTTGCTTCAGAAACCACAGAAGACAGCCACCTAGTGTATGTCAACTTTGACGTTTATCACAAAAGTGTTCTTCTATATAGGTAGATCTGGCTGGAGTGAAAAAAATGACAGTTTATCTTTTCTGCATATTTTATCCCCTTCCTGTGTTGCTTAAAGGGGCTTTCAATTGATCCCTACAATTCTTGCTATAAACAACTCTAGGACTTGGTTCCAACATGGTACTAACTCAAGGTCTGTGGCTCCCCTCCTCAAATTCATATTGGGCTGAGTCTATTTACCTTTTCTTTACTAGCCACAATGGCCTTTTCTGGGTTCTCAGTTCGTATATGAAGAAGGCCTCATCAGAGCTGATGTCATTTAGATGACTATTGCTCATCTGTTCTCCGCCATTTAGAAAGTGAATTCTTTAACGACATTTTCTTCAACCATTCTCTCGAAGTCAAATTCCTACCACTGCCTTCCTGCCATTGTGCACCCTTTCTTCCTCTTTTCATAGTTATAATATTATATTTACTAATGTGATTATTTTATATTTCACTAGACTGTAAATTCCATAAAGAAAGGTATTATGTTTCT